TAAATTGAACCGAATGGCTGATCTGAAATGTTGACAGAAAATTTGTTAATTGTTCGTGAGAAGACAAGTCAATGCAAGCCATGTACGCGAGAAAGTAACTGCGCGCTAAATTACAAGTTCCCAAGTCGTCGAGCTTCAAGGGTTCTTCGTTCCTAAGTTAATTTAATTAATGAAGTATCAACTGTGACCCTTAAAGGACTTATTTGAATATTGTTACGAGATGGCTCTATCTCCACAGCGGTGCGCGTAGTTTCTAGCGTGGGGTGGCGGCAATAGCTACTCTGAAAAATTCCACCTTAAGTCCGATATCGGGAAAACTCAAGCTATTCCCTATCCGAGTATTCCCAATACCACTAAAATAAATAATAAAAAGTACTTTACTCGACAACACTCTATACTGCAAACTCTATGATTTGCAGCAAAGGAGGGTATCACAGCTATTTATGTTGATTCAGCTTGAGGAGAAAGAGCTCTGGAATTAAAACAATGATTAACCCTTTTGCATAAACTAATACTGTACAATTAAGATCGACTGGTATCTATGCCAGATATATGCAATTTCTCTCGATCATCAAGAATATAGAAACAAAGATAAAGCTAAGAAAATTCACATTTAAATTGAAAACATTTCGGAGACCAGCTCCATTAACACCGCGAAAAATCAAAGAATAACAAGAGCAATCAGCGTGGAAAAGCCAAATTCACACAGAAGAGATTAAAACATTAGTAACGAAGAAACGACAACGGAACACAAACATTGATCTGGTAAAAATTTTAATTGGATAAAAATTGTGAACATATTTTGGGAAGATTTGCATTTAAAAATTTTGTAATGATTCCATGCACTGTTACAGTTATCCACTGCAATGATTCCCAGCTTGTAGTTCTTATCCACACGAAATTGGAAATAAATTAGTTCTTATGTTTCGTGTTCGGTTTTTCGCCACACAGGTTTAAATCTAATTCAGTGCAAATCTGACTTTTCTCCATCATTGTACTTGTATTATCTTAATTCCTGAACTGATAATTGAACTGGTCTCTGAAACTTTTTAATCGAAGATATGGCGTAGTTACTTTGAGTTTTCTCTTTCTTAATTTTCTTGATGAAGTAGCGATTCAGCAGATCAATGCTAAAAGTTTTCGTAATCACCATCATGTTACTGATTTTTTTGGCTTTGTTCCGAAAGTTACTGTTGATGAAATGTTCAAACGATTCGTTTGAAATTTAAAATAATGCCTCATGAGAAACAAACACACGAGTGTCAAAACACTCTGATAGGAAATAATATGGGATCCTCAATTGTCATACGAACCGACTGAGTACTTGTACAAAATAGTAATCTACGTAGTAGTTAGTTAGCATCATGAATAAGTTTTTTAGAGTTGAAAATTCAAGTCTCACCTGAAATTATCCTCGGTGAACATTAAATTCAGACTGAATTTTATAATTGACGCTATACTGTGCATATAATACTGAATTCGTATCAACCCAGCAAGAAAGTTTAAATTACAAGCAAATGTGTTCAAATTAAGCTATAATTGCAGCGAGTGATTGAAATCAGTATGGATTCCAAGGAAGATTTAACTATTTTCAAGAAATGAACTATAGAAATAAAACTTCGGTTCGTCAGCTAAATGACCTGAATTATTTGTAAGTCAAACAAAACGTTAAGAGCTTGAAATGGTTCTCCTAAGTTATGGCTTTGCAAGCAAACTTGTCCAATTAAACCCTAGAAGAACTGTTATCCTTTGCATTATATTTCATATTGTATTCTACTATAAACTGATGAAGTAGGACCTAATAATGTACAGCCTGTTTTTAAACGAAATTTTTTCGTGAAGTTGCAGTGGACTGTTATTTGTCTATCATCAATAAGTAAAACCTCCTTATTACACGATAAACAACAGTTTAATTCATACCGATCATCTAAATAATTCAATAGATTTAATTTATTTTGATGAGTGGAAAATCATTTATTTTTCTTACAATATTTGCTTAGGGTGGACATAGATATATTGCTTGACACCGATTCCAATCATTTTTTGAATACAGAGCGTGTAGAATTTTTATCTCATCGGCATCTCAATCTAGTAATTATGACCATTCTTCGTTTATATTTATGTAGCAATTTATTCATTGCTGTCTAAATAAAAGTATCGCGTTTCGCTGGTTCCTCTTCATCATGTTATGGACGCGACAGTTCGCAGACAAGGAAGGGCAAGCGGCTCTCCCGTCTGAATTATTGATGAGCTTACCGACGTGGATCCCTAGAGATAAAATATTATTATTGCTTCTGTGCCATGAGAAGCCATCATGCGCCTTCTTGCATTCGACATGCTTCAACCTGAGTAATGGTCTTGCATGCTGTTCTGGTAATCACATCCAGGGCAGTTTATAAAACAATAATGTAACAAAAAAATTCCTAGATAAAAATATGGTACCAGTATAAATCAGGTATATACTTTTTCACTACGGAAAATATCCTCCCTCAAAGTTGAGTTCTTTGTTCTCACGAAGGCTTAAGAAGTATAAGTAGTAGTTTTAAGATCTCGTACAATAATATCATTGACGATTGTGTTAAACGATCCATATTATACAAATGGAAGACTTTAGGGTGTGAACTTTGATTAACGCAAAAAAATCTCTGATGTTCATTTAATTGACAGTTATACGTCGAATGATTCAATTTTAGTAAGAATAAGAAGACTTTATGGGGTACAGTTATCAATTCAAACTGATGGCCTGTAGCGCTGATCTTATTTGTCACTTGATCATTATTTTGGAGGCGCAGCCATAGGCCGCAAATTTTACTCTTGTAAGATGACAATGTTGATACCATTTGTCCCTTGATATTTCCTGATTAATGTCTTCCTTGTTGAAAGATAAGATCCTTCACATGCGATACGTTCATAAGCATTTCCTTGTATTAGCCTTTCCTGTTTATCAAATCACGTCCTTGGTGACGTCAATTAGCGTAGCTATATGAGCTCTGCCCAAACCAGGAAACTCAGTCTTGGGCCGAGAACCGTCGAGTATACGCCCATACTCCTGTCCTTAACAATCAGGACAGTAACTCTAAATTAATGTCAGAGTAGAAGATACACTCTAGACTTATCCATACTTCAACTGGACGCCGAAGACATCAGTGTTAGAGCTCCAACTTATTAACGTACTGATTATCCTAAACTGTAAGCCGAACTATAATCCTAAAAGTATATTATATAATCGTTTACGCTGTCCCTCTATATCCTCGGATCCAGCTACAACCGAACCACCCTCAGGTCATACTTAATTACCATTCATATAACAGTTGCAAGGAAAAGCAACCTGTTACACTCTTAAATGAGCCCTGGAGCCAACCCACAGCTTTACTATGCATTAACTTTACTCAGCCTCAAACCTAGAAGCCGCAGACTACGCTTGAACTCCGTAACCCAGACAAGCGACACACTGCCGAAAGATAATCGCGCCGTATAGTCTTCAGACGATGCTTAAGCATGCTCGCTCATAAGCAGGCAGTTCGATCCTCATCCGGCTGTACCTACTCCGGCCTAACCTTTTCTGGCTTAACCTGTTCACGCTGTCCCGGCTCACAACATTGCAGCCAATGACTGGCTCTACCAGCACACTTGGACCGCCTTTCAAACTTCCTGCAGCCAATGAGGTTAGGTCAGGTCCGCTCAGGTTTGTTTTTAGTGGAGAAATGTTGCAACTTGTGGAGGTTAGGCCGAATAGGTTAGGCCGGAAGAGGTTTGGCCAGATGCAGTATGGCCATGCTTGCCTTTATTAAGCTTAAGTTTTAGCTGTGAACATCCGGCGCAATGACTTCGAGCACTTGACTTCATAGGCTGTTATGCCCTCTAGCGTTCTTACCTACAGAAAGAAATATGAACTTAATTAATGTGAAGTTTGGCAAAGCTGGCCTCCGGCAGGCGCCTCGATATTTTCCCAATCAGTATTTCTAATTTTGTAAATCGTTTCGCGAAGCTGTCCAGTATTAAGCCACGAATAAACTATGATCAGAGGAATTGAACAGCTTCATTTTGATTAATTTTTAATAACCTTTCCTAATAGCTTATTATATCATTGGAAATTCAAAGATGTATTTGTGTTTATATCTACGTCTAAACGCCTTAATAATCAGTTTTGGGAAATTGAAATACGTGTCTGTTCAATAATCGATTTGATATTCATGGTGTCCGCTTTATTTACCGTGGACGTCATGGGTGTATAGAGTACTTTGGGTACGTGCGTAGTGTACGTAGGATCTGTTGATTTAAAAATCTTCATGTGCCTCAGGCGATAAGTTTTGTGCTAATATGCGCCGACTTTGGAGGTGCGTGTGGCCCTCCGGTGGTGCGTGCGTGCGGCAACTTTGAAGCCGAGCTGCTCAAACAAGGCGAGCCTTATGGCTGCCTTGATTTATTACTCGACACATTTTTTTTACTTCACTCGTGGTCCTACACCTATGTATATAACTTCTGAAGTTCTTAGCGGCTAAAAAGAGATTGTGATTTATAATTTTTGGTAATAGTTTTGCTGCTCGGTAGGCAATTCAATTCGAAGAGGCCTGGACGTGACATTAAATTTTCTACTTCCATAACTTTGATTTTTGACGTAGTGAAAATTTAGAATAACAATGAAGAATATAAGTATTCTAACATGTAAACATATAGTACATACATACAATAATAAATATTAAAACATCGAAATAACTCACTCCAAACTCCATTTAATGATTGTGAATTGTAGCGTTAAAATGGAAAGGGTAAAAAACTAGAAGAAGCGTCATTTTGATAATTTCTGACGCATTCGTCTATTCCTGTTTTCAACCATCAAGAATACCGGTATACTCGGGAGTTTAGGCGTCTCTTCTGGAGCGCAAGTTTATTGCATCGCCTGTGGGTCAACAAACTTACCGGCTGACGTGGAAGTATTACCATATGAAAGTCCCATTTTCCAAAATAGGCCCGTGCTTCCGGTGCTATATTTGCCTCACCTTTAAAAATTCCGGTATATATACTTTGGGATCCAGCTCGGTGATAGGTGGCCAGAAAATGTTCTTCTGGATCTCCAAGAGCCGTTCGAAATTCTTGAGCCACTTCATCTTGTCATCAAGTTCTCCTGAGGAAATCACATCGAAATGTTTGAGGTCTGATAAAAGTATTCGGCAAGTTCTGTCGGCATGGAGATGGCATTTAAGATCGAATGCGTCAGACGCAAATCGAAGTTAGAGCACTTGAATGGGAGGATAATAACTCCGGAAGAAGTTTACAAGTACTTCGGTTTTTTATCATCAGGCACATGACATTCGTCGTATAGTTCAAGAGAAGTAAATCTATCAGAATAAGTAGCTATTGCTGATTTTTTCAATCAGTAAAATTACTCATTTGCAATTTTTGTTGCAATGATTGTTTCGTATCTGGAAATTGAATTAACTGAGAAAATAGTTGGACTGTATTGAGATAAATTAATATCTGTACTGTAAAAACAGCAAAATTCTAACACAACACAACATTTTTTCCTCACTTAGCGAGCTTTCTTCTGCCTCTATAATCTCCCTAACGACGGCCCTCTCCTGAGGCTCCTCCGTGCGCGCCTCGATGTCACGCAGGATGAGCGGCACCTTCATGATGTGCTGCACCGGCGCCACCAGCAGGTCTGTGAGCTGCAGCTTCTTGCACCGCGGGTCACGGTTGCACCACTGTAATTGAGATACGCATTTTAATAGAAACTTGAATATAAGACCGCGTGGTGGAATCTTTGTATGATGGTAGTTGTTGTACCTTGTTATAGGCATTATTCCGCAAGTGTAACTCATTTCGCAAGTGTAACAGTAACATTCCGCAAGTGTAACAGTAACTCATTGTCGGTTTAGTAAGAAAAAAAAATTTATGAAACAAGGCAACATATCATAACACGAGACAACTTATCCACAAAGTAGAAGCAGAAAATTCGTCAAGCAGCAGGTTTACAATGAACGGAAATAAAGGTAGAACTTGCGTTCTAAACTGCAGCATATGTCAAAAAGAAGAGACGTAAATGAATACAACGTAACGCAAACCCCCCAGTATTACATAGTTATGATACTCAAATTGTGACACTTTTATGCCTGGCAGGAGAGAGGATGCAATTTTACTGTAACTTTCTTATATAACTCTTCTTACTGCTATTCGTCAAATGGCACATAATAACAAACTTATATCATTGCTCAAATTAATTTCTGCATAAGAATTTCTTCACGGTCTCCTCTCAAGCTTCCAATTTGAAGGCTGCAAACTCACAGTACAATCGGCAATAAAAATCTTTTAAGTTTCTATTAATGCACTCGTACGTAAACAGGCTTGGAATTTGATAAAAAGGGCTTCTATTTTGGACAGTTCAATAGTCAGTATAGGCCCTACGTCTGAAGGCCCTAATGTATAATGTTTGCTCAAATCCGTTATTTGTAACTTTCTGATATGCAAAATATTTGAGGAACCAATCTTATATTTGTCGTACAGAAGTTTCTTGTGCAGCGATGGTTCATTTTAGAAGCCCCTACAGTTTTCAAATTTAAAGGAGCATTAGAGGCAATTTTATGGACATTTGATGCCAAGGGTTGCGTGGGTCAAGCCCGACCCACAGGTAATTGTTTAGGCCTGACGCGTAGTTTAGGTGCATTAGCGAAACATGCTGGAAAAGCCTGTTGTATTTACGTACATCATACTTCTCTCACCGAGCATTAAGCCATTTTGGCTCCGTCATTTCGCGTGCCGTTCTAGAGGTAAGTTTGCTTGAAAAAAAATGGGCGAATGACCTTAGATTCCTGTAGTAGATTTTGACAGGATTGCTCAAATTGGCATTACTTTCACAACTTTCGTCGTTGTAAACTAAGTCTGCTGTTCCAGTCTGCCGTTTCAATTGAGATACAAATCGCTTGCCTCCAAAATGAAACCGAACAGGCATAATAACTAATATAACTATGCACGATTTTTTTGAGGTAGCTTCCGTCCTTCGTTGGCTCATACTCCTCACAAAACTCGTCAACAGCAAACTGTAACGCAGGTTCTTACAACTCTTGACCTATTTATTTCGACTCTGTGACTGTCGTCTTGACCTCCGTGAGCCTCAGTCGCTGTGAGCCTCACTAACACTAACTAGGTAAGCTTGACTGCAACCTACAATAGTTCCATGCTTAGAGTTCCTGTACACGTTGCTCAAATTCAAGCTTTCAGTAATTTCTTCTGCAACTATAGAAATTTTTACGTTTCATGTGTGTGGTCCACTTCCTGGTTGTGTCCATCTACAAGCAGCTCTAGGCGAATGTTAGTGCGTTTTCACATGTATTTTAAATGCAACTTTAGTCATACCTGAACTTCATTGTGCTTTTGGATGAATATTGCTCAGCAAGTTCTCCCACTGTACTGCTGAATATTTGTAATAAACCGTTGGATCGGCATATGTCAAAGTTTCCACTATCGAATTAAGGATGGGACAATATTTGCGGTAGATGCCGAAGGATTTCTCCATGTGAGCTGAGCGCCCGACACGTATGGTAAAAACAGCGCGAGATGCCTGCGATAGCTGCCTGTTGCCACTATATGGGTCCTTTCTGAGCTTAAAACGCACCGATAAAAGCTAACATTTTACCTCCAATTCGTACTTGATTCTGAAGCGGTAAGCGAGTTCATTGGTGTGCAACTGACTGCTTTCAAATAAAATGTGACGCTCCGTAAATTTATTACCGAGGAGGAAGCACTACATGAAACTCTCAGGTATTTACGGAATGACACGTAAAACTTAAACATTACTGAATAAATTCTCTCATTGATGCATTTCTACGTTGAGACCGAATTTTGGCTCAATGAAACAAATTCATTCGCGCTGTTTCAGGACCGTAAAAAGGGCTGACAGCGTTCGCGTGGCTGGTCGTTCCCACAAAATTATGCCCCCAGTCGCTAAAACTGCGCAGCAATCACGCCCATTGATGAAGACAAATATACATATGAGGGTGCACTTGGTATATAATCGATATAATTTTGTAGCCTCGTTAAATGCCTTAATTATGATGGAGTATACTATACATTCGTTTACAATTTATTCCACCCTAGTGACCCAACTCTGTTTAATTAAGGGTGTTCAATTTTTAACATTGCATTCGATTCCAACCGCCATCTACCCCTCTACCGACGACCGTTTAACGAAATAAACTTTGGATAATTTCACCAAATTTTTATGCAGCATTTTCATTAAAATACAATACAATGAAATGCTGCAAAATTTGCATCATTTTGCAGCATTTCATTAAAATAAATAAACTAAAAACAAAACGATGTTTAAAAACATTGTGAGCATTCAGGAAACGCTTTTATATCATTAATTCTCTGAAATGCGGAATATTTTGAAAGTTTGCGTATGGAATCATTTTAACTGCAAGAAAACACTGGCGAAAACACAAAATGCTTATCATTTTGCAGAAATAGATTATTTGTAAACCAATTAACGGTAATTTATCGATTTTAACTTTACATCAAAAGTTGTCCTCCATGATCAATTTGTAAAAGTGAGCTAACGGCAAAAAAATAAGGCTTTAATTTTTATGCACTCCCCGACAAAATTATTGATCAAAATAGATTAAGAATAAAGCCAAATTTCGCTATAGTCGGTACTATAGAGACTAAACTTAATAGTGCAAACGTACATTGGTTTAACACCTCCACTTAATTCCGTCCAAACTAACGAAGTACAATCATTCTTTATGATGAACCTAGCATGGGAAAACATCGACAGAGCAAATCATTGCTTTTTCGAATGCGTTAAAAACCTCTTTGAGCCTGTGACAATCTTGTCGTCACTTCTACACAAATCCGTTCCATTTAGCGAAGCGTTTCCTCAGCTCTTTTGGACACATTCAATTCCAGGGATGAACGGCATTTCCATTAAGATCTCTCAACCCATAAGCGCAGCAAGCGTCTTCATCTCCAATTGTGTATTGATTTCAGTTCTCATCCGCTGCTTGAAAAGGATTTAAAATTTTACTCGAGAATTCCACAGCATTATATCGAAGTGTGCAATAATCATAGATGTTTTATGTAATTTGCGTTCACGAAGCCAGCAGCAAATTGACGGCGAAATTTCACAGATGTTTAAGAGCACTCTAAATTTCGCGATGTTACTTTATGAAGTACACTTTCAGAAAAAAATTCATTCGTTTCTCTTTATCTGCGATACTTATTACTTTGTTATTAATCGTATCCTAAAGTAAGCATTTTTACTTCATTATGAGTAAAAGTGAGTCAACAAATGAGGAATAATAGAAGTTAGTATGTTAAAAATAAATTTTCAAATTGCTTTTTCGCTGATGCAACAAGCACAGAAATCTTATATGAATTGAATATTTTTCATTAATTAAATATCCAACTTGTTGAAACAATCATATTTAACGCGCCATTAAATAGGTTCACTGAGAAATAACCATTGAGAAATGCTCATCTAAGGCAGCTCTCGTATGAGGCAGCTCTCGAAGGCTAGCGACCCAAGCAATCTTATTTAGCAGTGGATGTCGCATCATTTCTGGAACGCACGGACCTTCCAGGCTGTACGCGAAGAATTTATAGGCACTAATGGTGCGCACACAGTGAAAGCAGGTTGCCATCGTGCTGGTTACCTGCTCAGGCTGGCGCCTGAAACCATAGAATACAGAAGCCTATTCGTACTCCTCGACGCATGCCGCTATAGGGCCAAAGAAACGAAGAAAATGTAGGGTTTAAAGGTACAACTAATTCAAAAATGACCATCTGCCAAGCAGGTTGAGCAGATAAGAATGTGCAGTACATTCCGGTAAATAGGTATAAGCAGGTTGTCGGCAGAAGCCTATTCGTACAGGTTTCCACTGTGAACACTTACATTATTATCCTATGTTCATTCTTGTGGCAGGTTGGAGCAGGTTGCCCGCGCGGGCAAACCGGCTTCCACTGTGTACGTACCCTTAAGATAGATTTTTAGCTAGCTTTTTGTGTATCAAAAATAGTTACTCTCTACGGCATGATAGTCCGGCAATACGACTTACAACTGTCGCCTGTTGTTACCGAAGCAGGTGGTTCCAACGGCCAACCGCTAAATTTAAACGGGACACATATACTCGATGAGCTAATCATTGAAAAGTGAAACGGATACCACATGTTAACGCTTAATTTATAGTATTGGTTGGTTGGTAATTTGTAGTATTGGTTGGGCCGGCTTCCTCCTCATGGCATTCTCTAGGCAGATGATCTTTAGTCAATTCGGCTGGAACATTCGTCGATGCGTACAATCGGTCCACAACGTGCAAACGTAGCCTCAAAATATTTTAGCGCGCCTAGGAATAGATGAGCGGCAGACGCAAGGGTTCCACAAACACTCGATGGAGCCGCTGGTCGTGTTGGAAATTCACGGATGTTCCGGTATTGGCTTTTAATTAACTTATTCAGGCAAAACAATGTCCGTAACATCTGAAACAAGTTGACCAATTTAACAGGCCAAAGTCGCGTGAGTGGAAAATGCTTGAACTAATGAGTTGATAACACAAGTACATCGAATTTAAAGGTTTATTAAATGCTCGATAATTTTTAATTGCATTGTTTTGATGAAAGAATGAATGTCTCCAAAAGTGAGGATTTTTTTCTGACAAAAATAACCAATAACTTTGCTCAATAAAACTGATCGAACGAATGGAATATAAAA